TGTATATCATGCTGGATAGCGCCAGAGAATAGTGCGAAGCTCCGTCATTTTTCATATTCCTTTAGTAATTAGTTTCAAAATATATTAATTAATTGAAATATTTTGTGAAGTATTGTCTATGTGTAAAATGCTTAAATAATTGAGTATAATGATAATAATCGAATAATGATATGTATACATAAAACCTGACCATTTTTACTACTAGTACAAATCCGCCAATAAGTGACTCATAAATATTCCTCTTTTATTATTTTGCTTTACCAGTTCGAATCATTCTAAAAGCGAACGTAGCTGAATTTATGTCTACACTTGATAACTCCTATTAAAGTGGATCACATTTACTGTCCCAAAATATTCCTGTGCACGTTCTTGTTAAGCATTGATATTCTTGAGCTTAATTATTGCAATAAGTTGTTACGTTTCGAGAAGATTTAAGGAGTCTATCTTCTAGCCCAGGCCAGTGTCACTGCTGAAGCGAATTGAAAAAAATGCCGTTTTTAGTTTTTCAGATCGAAACGCGCTCTGTAAACAGTTTTTCAGCAGCCTTATTAACGAGTATCTTATAGCAAGCAGATAGGCAGGCCTATTCGATCAAATACAGAGTAAGTACTCGACCAGGTTGACTGCATCGTATACAGTTAAACTATTTACTGTAATCATTCATAAAATCAACAAAGATAGAGCGCAACGGATAATATTTCCAATCAATGTTTGTGCTTATGAGCATTGCAAGTCACTTTGTTACTTGAACATCCGTCGCTTAGAAAAAATGAGATGCTTTAGAGCATGCGTGCTTATGAAGCACATTGCTAAAAAATATTTTTGTCAGCAGCGGTTTTCTCATAGCCCTTACGTACAACGTAGCTAATTAACATATGTATATATGGGTTGCTCTTCAGTCGTCATCGTGAAAATGGTAGAAAAAAAATGACAATGGCCGCTGAGGTTGCCCAGCCAAAGTATTATCATGTAGTTGATATGATAGAACCAAAAAGCACGAGATCCAGCTCGGAAAGCAGATCGTATATATGCGATTTAAACTGTATGTTAAAATTCTTTCCATTTTGCCGCCAGTTCGACTATTACACTATGTACCGTCTAAGCGAAAAGCATTTGATTTGTAGTTCATTTTGAAAAAACGTATACATACAGATTATGCGTATTTGGTGTAATGAACGTGATGCATGGATAAGTCGCTAAATTTTATTAAAAAAAAAAACAATTAAGCTTAAACATTCTTATTACATTGCTTGTAATAATGCTTTGTTCAGAAAAAAAGTGTAATACCGATTTTGCGACACAGGACTTCTTTTTTAACCTTTTTTTAATAGATCTCTGCACCAGTTGTTCCCATGTTTTCATGGACAATGAGCCTTTAATCTGGATATTACCGATGAATGGTTAACGTGCTCGCAACGTTATATCAGTTAATAATCTGCGGGGCGTATTCCGTGTTCTTTCAATCTGGATAGGCTTCTATATAGGAAGTTGGTCTTATGATCGGCGAACTTGATTTAGCCGCTGATACCGTCATATTACGTACTAGTTAGGATTGTGCATATAACACACAGCAATTCAATTAATTTTTGTATTTTAAGTTACCTCTACTACGCAATCTGTTTAACGTAACATTTCTATCTACCCAATAGTTCGCGTACACTGCGGACTCTTCTCTCTGTATAAAACTCGTGTTGTTCTCCGACGATGATTATTTATGCCGCCGATAGGCTGCTGCCTTGATCTTCAGGTTGTAAGTGCCTAAACTGTAGTATTCATTTTCTCTTCAAGTAGATCTTGCCCAATGAAAAAACCCTCAGGACTCTATGCAAGTACGATCTATTTAGGGAATATGAAAGGCAGACGAGAATCAGTTTCGTTCCTTCGTTGCCTTCCTTTTCAGTGTTTGTTTAGATTGTATCCAATAGCTTGTTGCTGTATTTTTAGAAATTAGATTTTAAAATATCTAAATAGAGTCGCAAGTGCTATTAAAGAACTTGGGTAGAAACTTGCCGCAGCTAGAAAGCTAAACAGTAGTATACTAGAAGGTTTCCGATACGAGGGGCAACAACGAAAAACTTATCATAAGACTTTTCCTACTTATGTAACTGTAAGATTCCAGTCAAATTATATTTAGCTTTGATTCCTATCATTTTTACGCGCCATTTCTACTAACAAGTTAACATAAGATTAACTGATGACCTGATTTCTACTTGATCCGACTAAGTTAGTGAGCACATTAGCAATACACCTTGCTATCTCGCCCCCAGAAAAAAACTCCATTAGAATATAAAATACATTTTGCATCGTCCCGATTTCGTCGTTCATTTACCCAAAATATCTTGCCTAGCTAAAAGCGCCCCCCACTTGGTTTTCGTCATAAACGACACACGTGCCAAGGTCATATCTCCCCGTAGCTTGCTTACCCACAGCCTCATGCTCTGTATGGCTAAAGCCCAAAATAGCCTGTTCAAGAATACATTTCTACGCGATACTTAGTCGTGTGATGCTAGTCTTTATACTCAGATCGTACCGTATGATCTGTGGAAGAAGGCGCTTTTAGGCTATAACAGCCGCAATGTTACCAACAATAGATTTACGTATAGTGCTGTTAGCCGCATAGTTCCGTTAATAAATGATATTAATAATCGCGTGCCGTTCCTGTAAGTACTCGATCGATTGCCCAATTCACTGAGACGAAGTCATGTTCATAAGAGATTAGCGTTAGAGACGCTACCGTGGATCATTGCTAAGTAGCCTCGCTTAGATGATAGCTCAGCGTTAATTACACTGTATACGATGTCGATTGTAACGTACTAAAAATGCAACATAGAGACGGTTTAGCGGCCGCTATTAGGAAATCGAAGTACTAATTATATATATTACCGTATGATGAGCACCAAGGTCAACCCAGATTAAGCATGGAGCTAACAATGCCGGACGCGTGTACGTATCTTCCTACTTTCTTTCAGTATTTATTATGCCTCTAGTGATAGTATATAAAAGGTTTTTAACTAGTGAATTGAGAAGTGTCGGGAAGTGACCGAACATTACAGTGACTTGACCCTTTTTCAAGCCTATTCGACCTATATACGCTCCTTTCTGTTTTTTTTTCTAAAAACGTCTAGAACGCATTGGTTAGGTATAAATACCTAACCAATACGCGTGGCAATACGCAGAGGCTCATATTCTTGGACGACAGATGGCCGTGTAGTGGATAGGCAACAACGACAGGTTGGTGATCAGAAGTACAAAGGCTTGAAATGAATTCACATGAATAGACACGCCTAGAGCGGCGATGGTATACACTCTCGATCATTCTTTGATCGAGAAATAGAGTATTTCGAAATCTCCCTAGGAGGTCCAGTGTGCAAGATAGAAATATACGGGCTAAAAAAAAGGTGTCCTCAGAAAAGACTCCAACTCAAAGTTTACAGCTTGAGTATATCCACATATGCTTGTCAGAGTACCTTACATGCCGGAGTGGCTTCCAGAGCGGGATCTGGTTGTCACCTTTGCTCGAAACGACGACGAATTGTTCATTGATTTAACATCTGAGATGGCCCCTTAGCTATTGCGGAATGTTAAGTGGCCAAGGAAGAGCTAAGCAGAAGTGATTACAGATATTTCGTCACCGAATGTGCATCGACGATCAAGCGCGACGGCGCTTGATCCCGCTTAGAAAAATTATTTTTGCCATTTAAAAAGGTTTCGTGTCAGGACCCAGCCATCACCATCACGTATGCTATGGGTTGACTGGCGGGATATCGAGCTGTAGTATGTACATGGATAATGCTACGAATCCGTTTGCAAATACTTTCCATTGAAGTCGAACACGGATAGGTAAAATTTGTTTCTTTATGGTCTCAAATCTACGCATTAGTCAAAGGCTAAAGAGAGAGGACGATTGTTTAGTATAGTAACATTTATCTTTTTTACAATAGCATATTTATTTGACCTCTCAATTTTTTTAGAGAATTCTTTTCTCTTACGATATCCTTGGTAACCCCTCAATATAAATGTAAAGGTGATCGGTTTAATCCAAGTGATTATCGACATACAGGTCTTACAAGCTTCAGGGCGGAACTTGTCAAACGGCGCATTCGGAACCAGGGTTCAGCTTATACCCAGGAGCTTGTTCTCCTTGCAAATACCCAGTGTAGACGCCTTTGTGGGCGGTGAAATCTGGGTGAATAATACTTACTGCTAAGTGCGTTGCTATGATTATTATGAATATGCGACCATCGTGAGTTCAACGTTGGAATATTTTTATTATGGCGATTCATTACGATGCAACTTCATAGGGCTGTTAAAGAAGAGCTCAGGTAAGTTCAGTGAGATTCTCAGACTAGATGGCCAACAACTTATGTAAAGAAACATAGCATATGGTACTTTACGTCGAAGCTGACACTCCGTAATTGCCCTTTGAGGGCTTTGGTGGGGATTGAAGCGGGCCTAGAGATGCCGTGAACATTTTCCTGAATGACCTTATAGTTTAGATCTGAGGTTTTTCAACAAGCAGGGAGTAGATGCTAAAATTCAGCTGCGGGTTACCTCTCAGTGACATAACGGAGTTGGTTTATCGTCTAGATATCCTAGGTCTATGATTCATTACAGTATATTGTACGTACATCATTGACAATACGTTGCGAATACGAGATAGACAAGTATTTTTGTAAATGGCCTACATTTCATCTAACCAGTTTAAATGGACTTTTTCAAATGCAAGATCAATATTTCCAAATGGTCGTATAAAGAGCAATTGGTAGGTCCTACGACTCACTGTGGTTTTAACCTAAACAAGAGAAATAGTTGAGCAGTACTCGTAACGTCAGGTTGTACGGATAACCGCGGGGGTTACAGCGGAGGCTTTATTATAAGCTATGTTTGCATAAAGAAAACATCCACGAGAGGTCTTTTGGAATCTTTGTCTCATGAGAACACGTTTTCACAGTAAAGCAAGCGTGAAATAAGGTTGAAGGGATAAATATATAGGCTGCGTAGCTATGGTGCCGAGAGCACGCACTTTACCGTTCTTCTGGTGGTGGCAAAGGGTGTGGTCCGGAAGTTTTAAGACACTCACGAGTTGCCTAAAAAAACTGTGGAAAAAGCGTAATACCGGGAACGAGAATCGGGAATTAATGCATCGCTTAAGGATAAAGATGCGGAGACACAAAAACAGATATCTACTCAGTCATTTGCTGGAAGTCTTCTGACAACGGTCGTAGCCCTAGAAACAGAAAATCGCCAATGACAGGCAAAAGGCCTAGTTTCGTTTACCGAAGTGACAGTCTACCGCACATGTCATTATACATTAAGACATCGTAGCCAGGCGTATCCGAAAGAGCTAGGCGTGACCCACGACAGGAGCGAAATCCGCGTGTAAACAGAGGCCACTAGGTGGTGGCCTAGCCTGCTGCCTTATGAGGACGTCAAGAAACATGAAGCTCCATCAACCTTTGTAGTGGTTTGCTGATCTCAGTGATAAAGCGGCAGGGCGCATTACCGAAAGTGAAGAGTCCAGCTTGACCAGTCACGGAAAAATTTGAAGGTATATCTTCATTAAATTGCATATTTTACCAAACAGATAGATACTAGTCCACCTCGAGGCGGAACTGATCAGGCGTTGGAGCGAATGATCGTTAGAATCTATGCGTGTCAGTGGGTCAGTAATTGGCAAGAGACCCAGGTGAGAGCTAGAGCCTTTGCCAGAGCACACGTGACAATTTAACACAGTTGCATAGTTGCCGATAATTAAACGAGGTCAACTGCAGCATTTCGCTGCGGTGGAGTCTGCTGCGATGGAGAGGAGTCAATTCCATGCAGCACTGTAGGAACTCTGTAGGAAAAACACTATGGGTGTCCCAAAAAGTAAGCAAAACATGGAGTTGTTAACTTTGCCGGCATGTATGGCTATACCGATGTTATATATATATATATAAAAGTGAAAATAGAAAATCAATAATAAGTCCTTTTAAATCACATTCAACATGGCAGATGGAGCTAACTAAAAATGTTGCTGAGCTCGCATGAGGTCAATAGCTTGTTGGCGGGGCATATTCGTATACAAGTGAAGCGAGGCAGGATTGCACGCGGCGCAGGGTGGCGCCAAATTTAAATACGGAAAGTTAACTCATATTTAAGACGTGTACCGAGCAAATAAACAAATGTGATGCAAGGCTAGAGTTCTGGCATGATTAACGCTAACAACACGGCCCTCGGTTTCAGTAAATCCTATTTAGAATAATATCAATACTACCAATGGTTTAAAGGAAGTTTCTATCAATGTAATGGCGGTACAGGAATATTACAGAAAGAAAAGGCCAGAATCAAGGGTCTCATAGCAAGCTATGAACGTTGACCTGCCGATTCGAAAAATGGCGCAGAGTTCTACTTTTTCCTCGATGAGCGGTAGTATGAGTATGGTAACGAATCTCGATTGTGATAATGAACGATAATGGTCTTTATTAATGTTATCTAACCGTAGCCGTTGGACTGCTGATTCGGGACCCGAGGTGTAGGCCTTACTTATTGTTGTATCTTAGCAAAGCTCCGCTACTGAAGACATGAGTCATACCAGCTGCCTTTGATTTCATTGTGAGTGAGGCCCGACTCTGAGATCTATGGCATTGGTGCACTGATCTATAATCGTTCAATACGACCTCATAATTTTCAAATCAATACGACTTCAAATCAATTTTTATTTATTTTCGTTGATAGTGTTAAAAAAGACAATATCTTAATATAAAAGAGAGCCTATAAAACCATTTGAAATATGTTACGTCACATGTGCGTCTTATGAAGTTTATAGAACTAATTTAAGAAATCCACCAAACGTCCTAAGGATGATATCAGGAAACAACGAGCAGCATAATATGTATCAACAGTCCCCGTCTCTGGGGTGCTTACATGTGCTTTAGGCGTGTCCTTAGGCTCGCGAAAACCTAGTTGGTGGAGAATCTATGTGGGAACACATGTCCAGTGACAACATATTTACTTAGCTAATTCGTCCCGTTCCACTCGTTGTACCTGATCGTCTCCGAAGCTAAGAAAGGCATCGATATTCGCGAATCTTGCTTCCAGTTTCCAATGTTTGTCTTGAAACTTCCGTAGTTGGAAGCTAAAAGCGACCATGTAGATCCTCGGACAGCAATGGCGAGCCGGCTAAGAGACGTGTCGAGTCGCTTTTTGAAGAGCTAAAGAAAAAGGCAACTCGATTATTCGAGGTTTTCCACTGGAAGATCTTTCTAGATAACGCGTATCTGATACATTGCGATCAGAGGTATTTTGAGGTCAAATAGATGAAGGCGGTTGCGAGGAATACATACATCCTTCAATCACATGTGCAGTGTAATTACTGCCGTTCACAGAGCAGTACGAACACCGGCTTAAACAGGCAAGAGGCAACCTAGCGCGGTGTTAGTGACTACTGTGTTGCCTCTTCTACTAAACTTTCGCGTATCCGTCTCTCCCAAATCTATGACTGGCGCACGAAGCTCAGCTAAAGCTTGTTCTACTCGGAACTTGTTTAACCCGCCTATCACTAGAATGTCTGCTTACAAGATGATTGCGACTGATTTTCTCAGCTATCTTGTTTGATCAGGGAGGCCCTTCAGAAACTGAAAAATAGAATTGTGAGATTTTCATCCTAAGCCAGGTCGGTTGTCTAGACAAAAAGTGAGAGTTGGGCCACACCGTGGTCGATAATTACGTTGTTCTTTTGTGAAGTCGCAGCGAGAAGGTTGAGCACACTCGTAGGGACATTTGCTTAGGCCAGAGTGAGATTGGCGCCGAATCGGACACTGCCTTGAAGTTGATGAATATGTTTAGCGTATTACACGGAGTGATCAGTGCCCGTTTGACGTCGGCCATCAGGATTCTGCTTGCCGTTTCTGTGGACCGTTCCCTTCGGAAGCCATGTTGCTTCGTTGGAGTGACGTGTACGTTTCTAAGCAGCTATTTAGCCCGTTAGTCGGTAAGCCGGAGAGCATCTTACAAAGACTCTCTCGCTATTTCTGCCGTGAAGAGGGTGCAGTTGGGTTGTTCTTTCCTTTAAGGACAACTAACTGAGCAACATTTTTATAACTATTTTCTGGCGGCATATGTGAATATATAGATAATAAGTATACACATGTGATGCATACTTTTTTTCGACAGATTATCCTGGAGACGAAGATTAAAGGTTAATTAAGGCTTTATCTCGGCCATAAGCATGAAGGTTACTCGGGCTTCTTGAGTAAGGTTACAAGTGTAGTTTAGCTACGCCCTATGCTTCCGGGAGAGGCAAATAGGCTGTACTATAGAATTTCAGCTAGATGGTGCGCACAAGTTTTATTATATCATACGTCGTCGTAAAAAGTCAGATTGGTATGTGTACTGGTTTGTGTTTTGTCATTCGATTCGGCCCATGGGCACTCGTTTCTGAAACATCACGCGCTTCCTCTAGCCAGTCGAGGCGTAATCTACGCTGGTTCCTTTATATCATGACATTTACCTGACAAAGCATTATCGCACAAAGTCAAATAAGTATTTAGGAAACCTTTAAGAACAGGATGGTCACCCGCCCCTATATTTTCAAGCAGTATAACGACACTAATCATTGCAGATCATCAAGTATAGGAGGGTGTACATACATGGATGTAAACGTGTTGAAGCGTTGTCCAGGTGAGCATCCAACAAAAGATCCGGCAAAAAGAGAGAGATGAAAGCGATTAAAAAGACGTATGAATATGTTACAGGTGTAAAGAAAACTGTCTAGGAAAACCAGAAACAGACGGGGCCGTGTTGGAGAAGGAGTAAAGCATGAGCGCGGACTAGATAAATACTTTGAGTATCAGATCCGATACGGCCACTAGACAGTCTTTTAGATGGAGAGTAGACTACCGTTAATAAGCTACCATACAAGAACATTTAATTTTTCACGAGCTATAACTGAACTCCTGTCTCTGCACTTTCCGGCAATGGACTCTATTTATCCACGACCTTATGTCGAGCTTTTGTATAACCGACAATCAATTTATTAACGAAATTGAATCTAGATATAACCTTTACCGCGTAGTTCCCAGAGCCAGACTGGCTCTTAGCTTGTTTGTCTTAAGTCCTACTTGCAATGTTTTTCGCAACAATTTATCGATAAAACAAGTTTAAAAAAAAGCTAGTTTTAAAAAATATTCAGCGATATAAACAGTAACATGTAATATATAAACTACTTGCATGGCTTAGAGGAGGTTAGCAAGTCTACGTATGCTTCCTAAAGCGTGAAGTATAGTGTTGAACGTTTTTGTTCTCTACTTAATACTGAAGTATAATCTAAGGTAGGATTTGAACTGAAGTTCACACATAATTATTAATATTTCAAAAGGTGAGATACATTTTTACAGTCTGATACATTTTTAAAGTCTGATAAAAAAAATCTATTCTTATAATGTGGTCTGTTGGCTCATGTTTAATATAACAGTGTCCATGCTTTGAAAATACACAACCCTGAAATAGCTATAGGCATGCACCAAAACGCACATTATAGAGGTAATCAATTTATTCTAAAGTTCTCTGCTTCTTATAATCAAGAGATCCGAGTCTTATTTAATCGTGTATAAAACAACGTTATTATTACATCGTATACTGTATGTATTTGTTTTAGATTACATACTAAAACAGTTTCTAGGATGTGTAACAGGATAACTAATTCTATATTGGTTATTGAATGCCAAAAAGGTCCGCAGGGTCGTACCTTAGTCCTGTATTTGGGGACTGTGCGGACGAATGGCCTGTGCCATAGATTCTTCAAGAGAACTAGTATAAGGTAGCAAAATGTATACGCGTTAATCCAATTGCATAAAATATCTTGTTCCGTTTTTTAAGCAGTCTACTAGGAAGATGACTAAACAACAGCGAAATGTTTTCTGTAATTATAACTTTTTTTCAATGTAAATAGCATTAAAAATATGAACTAAAGTATTATCAATATGACGTTAAAAAATCTTTTTATCTCTTTTTAGAGATACCTAGAGAAACTAAAGAAACAAGTAGAATATCAAACTGCGATAATAAAAAACTTAATAAATATGAGAGACTGGAGCGCTGACTTCTAGGTTTTGTTTCTTCTTGCTGATGTCTTCTACTACAATGACGAATTCTACAAAACATAGACTGGTATATAGTAGGGTTTGCTAAAGGATCGTAATTAGTTTGTAGGTCACCGTGTGACCCGCGTTTTATATGTATCGTACATTGTCATTTATTCTAGACATTTCTGACAATTGTCTTTTGATCAAGTGTATGAGTGTTCTACGATAATAATTGCATTGATCTGAGCACATTGTACTCTAACATGCGATCAATTCTGTATGCCAGAAAAATTATAACTCTCGTTCGAGAGCGTGTGTGTTTTCACCACTGCGTCACGTTTTTGCGGTAAAAACCGCTAGATAAGAACGAATGTAATGAACAAAAACAAATATATGAAAGTTAAATTTGAGAGAACTTACAGACGTTTTTTTTTTATTAAACTTCGCATACCTATTTAATTTTTTTTTCGTATAAACTGAAACCTCTTAGCTTTGATACCCGCGCGACAGGTGTTGATGCCTACGAGGTAATGAGGACCAAGCAGTGTCAAATACTGACTTTCGAATTCGAGAATTGGATCTCGGATGTGGTCAGTGCCAGGTGTCGTATCGTAAAAATACTCAAAAATGGTACTAGGTGACCTTAAGCGGGAAGCGTACCTAATACGAAACTAACAGAAAAAAAAGTACTATATATTTTGTTTATTGTTTCAATGACATTATGTTTGGTCATTGTCAAACTTACCAGTTATTTTCAAAGACAACTAAATTTTCAAAGAATTGTTTTCGAGCCAAATTAAGTAGATCCAAATTATGAAGCCTATGAAACAGTTTCGTTGGAAATTCTGATTTCAGATAAAGAAAAGTAACGCAGTATATAGCTAACATGGGGTGTCCCATTATTATCGAAAACCTAGCACATGCGATAACATTTATCACTCTTTTTTTTACTTTCGACTCGTTAGAGCCATTTTCTCGTAGTGTTTCATTTAGTAATGAAATACATAGTTAGTTAGTGAGTCAAATTAGAAATAGCTAATTAACACTAGCCCACACAAAACTACTTTAAGATACATTTCACTCTTAAAAGGCCTAAGGTTAAGGACACACGTAGAATTGGTCAATGATAGCTTAGACTTTGTATAATATGAACTGGACATTTGTGAACGCTAATAGCGGTTCCAATTCGGAACAACGTGTACCTACCTACCCGTAAAATCCCTTGTGGAACTGGCCAAGCCTAAGGTTAAGAAACTCCATAAGGCTGTTTTTGCTCACTCACCCATGTTCATCCTGCTGATCATGATTCGAACTGCGAAACAAACAAATTCAATTAGCCTGTTTGAGTAAATATTGCGTCCTCGGATCACTAAAACTCCATTCCCGTTTGTGTGTTTATAGAACCAAGATTTCCCTAATGATTTGCTAATGAAATGTTATTCCTCTATAGCCCGATATAGCTGTAATTCCTTTTAAGGGGGTGGGTCAATTGTTTTAAGCAAGCATTGAATATAGGTCGGTTAGGTTACCACATCGTTCATATAACGCGATTGATAGTCAATTGTGTAGCTGCGCTCACTACTTTGGCTATTATCAGATTTTTAGCTCGCAGTGATAGAAACAATTACGTCAGACGTTTCTAGGCCTAGTTTACTGAATGTAAGTAAAGGACGTGAACCTCTACATAAAGCTACAGCAATTTCCTCCCCTGCCGGAGTTTCATTATTGCTCCAGCAGCTAACTCTTTATATTTTTATTCCCGAAAAAACAATCACAACGCAACGAAAGTAATCGATAAATCCAATACTTACTTCTATACCAACAGGAACGTGAGGGACGACTACTGTCTACGTGAAATTCTATTTCTTTTCTCTAAAAAGATTGCGTATTGAGTCCTTGTTATTATCAATAATTGAGAATATATATGGATAGAAATTGTCATTGTACTATTATGTTTCTAATTCATATTTACGTACGAGGACTGGCACTAGTTAATGACGCAAGGCTCGGTTCAAAACAGGCCCCCTAACAAACATTGTGGGCCACGGGCGACGTATTCTTCGTATGCGGGCAGGAGCATGGGCAATTTGCCAGGGCCAAAGATAGCATAAATGCCGGGACTTCCAGAGAAATTCGGACCAACTGACGTGAAGAAGACGCAGCCAGGGAACCCTCCCCCCTCCCTCTCTCTCTCCCTCCCCCTTTTGGCTTTGCGGAACACCTCCAGGTTGAACAACGAAGACAACTCGACGTAAGATCCGAAGGTATCGAAATCGACGTGGAACCTTGAACTGATGTAGTTGTTATGGACATTTCCGTCACCGTTCGGGAGTAATTGCCTGGTTGACTGACAAGGATTCCCAGTTGAATTTTCGTAAGCCTCACCTTTACCTGAAACCGCACGCCAGTGAATTTCCGCTTGGTGCAGTCATTGTCCATCGTCCTCGTTCATTTTTGCTATTTCCCTTTAGAACCACCCGTGCCAACCCGTTTTAATTTCGAATCGAAGCCAATTCTCCATATCATACTGAATTTAAAGATTGCTTCGGATGGCTAACTTCCTCTAGCACGAATCGAACTGTTTGTGTATTTGCGGTTTGAAACTTAGATTCTAACTTACCTCGCAAATACCAACGTACCACCTGACGAGAACGATTAAAAATAGGCTACCTGAGCGACAGCAGCTGCGGGCGACATTTCGCATCAACCGGAACAAATCGCATTGCGAAAAAGGCCAAATATCCAGATTTAGACGTTGACTGTGATTTTCATTGAACAGGGCTTTAGGCTTCGTTCGTTCGGTGGATCAAGAACGAAGGAAATTGTTACGAAACTACAAAGTCGTCAAGGAGGGAACACACGACTACGCTTCTGTGATTTGACCAGTCGTAGCGGGAGTGTTCACCAATGGATGACCCCACAAATGCATAAGCTTCTGGCAAGATCTTTTGTCTCATATCTCAATTAGCCTTTACGAATCTCTAGTTTCCAAAAAAAGACTGCCCCAAGCGGCTTGTGGACGTAGCCACCTCGCCTGTCCCGACTGTACAGAGAGGGTCGCATGGACGTTGCTACAGATCACGAGAACAATGGCAGATGTGGCTAAAAGGTAAAAGACGCTGGCTCTTAAAGACCTGATAATGACAGTAGGTTTCTAGAAAATGGATAGCGGTTGCTGTCGTTTCAATAAAGGCGGGATGAGTGTTAATTCTGCGTGCAAGTCTGTCAGCTTGACTAGAAGGACCTCTGGCCTTCCCTTTTTCTCCTTCCAAACCAGCTTGTCCTTTGCATCCTAAGACCACATGAAATAGCCTTTAGGTGAAGATTGTAGGTCGCATTACGTCAGTCAGGCTCAAGTGGTAGGACATACTTTTATCAAACAGGAAGCCCGGAGCGAGAATGTCCTAGACGCCACGAAACTTAAATAAATACAGAGGAAGACAAAAAAAATGGGGAAACGTGACGAAGGAAGAGTCCGCGTCTTTGTGGATGCACGCCACGCTATAAGTTACACTAAGTATTCATTCTGCAACAGTAACAGTGGTAGCGCAGTAGTAACAGAATAGACAAGTGGATTTGCCTTACAAGGAAATACCTACTCGTGGAAAGTTGACTTGTCCTCGCGACCTAGTCAACCCTTGACCCAACGACTCATCGAAGATCCCGGTAAAAACGGCGGGGCATGACCAAACCGTTTAGGATCGGAAGCTGCTGGGTGGGCGGTCGCTTTTGGCTAGTCTCTAAGCCAAGATCGTCGCTACTGCTTGAGAGGTTTGGTCTAGTTCACGAGGCCTACGTACCTACCTACCTGCTACCAGGCTGGCTCGGCTAAGGCGAGATGTGGAGAACGTCATTAGGGAACGGCGGGAAACTGGGTAGGCTACCTCGACTGTCTAGAAAAATTGCTCATAGAGGCGGTCGGGAGGCCACCATCCCGTGGCTGCAGCAGTTACAAGCCGTTGTTGCTGTGTTCGTACGGCATCGAGAACACGCGGCAGCGGCGGCAAGTCGAGTGGAAAGGGCTTACCTTAGAACGCGCATGCGCCCAAAGCACCCTGCCGGGAATACGGCCGTACCACACCGACCGCTCTACAGCAAAGCAAATGAGTAGACCGAACCAAAAGAAGAGACAGTTTCTACAGCGTGGCGATATTGCGAGTCCTGGGTTCGCGTCTGTGGTTGCAACTTCTGTGTCCACCCGTGCTTATGTTGCTACTGTAGTAAGTGCTGCTACTGCTGCAGAAGTAGCAGTCGAAGATGAGTTTCATGTGCCAGAGAAGACCAATACAATGCTATTGCTACTAATGTTGTAGTAATCTGTACCAATGATGATTAACCTTCGGAGCGCGAGCCTGATTAGAAAGCTGTACTACATAAATAATTGCTTAAGCTATTGGTTGGTTTGTCCGTAGACTCTTAAGTGCGATGCTTTATCGTGCAGTTTTTTGGCCAGCGTAGCCAACTCGCCTGTTTTCGTGTCATCGTGCCATGTCCTTTGTGCGGTGCTCCTCACGAAAGCCGACAGGTGGATGCTACAAGTGTGCTTGCAGCTACTGATACAGATATGGTCCGCGACCGCGCCGGGCTTCATGCTGCTCTGACATAGATTGTGCTTCGAAGTGCTGAGGGAGGGCCACAAAAGGTGCGTGATCGGAAGTAGCGCGATTTTAATATAGACTCGGTTTATGGCGGCATCATGTAGAGATGATTGCATACATTGATGAAATTTCAAACCGGTGTACGCTCCGGTAACAGGTAGAAGCGCTTATGTAACGAAACGTACAGGTGGAAATAGAAAAAAAACCCAAGTGGCTTGATAAATGCATCCGGTGCGTTTAATATACAAATAGACTAAGTAACACTTTTTTTTTTTTCTTCACAATACTTAGCATGTAGAGCCGATACCGCTGTGTAGAACGTAGGATATATTGCTATGGAAGGTTCTGTGCAAGGTATTATTACTTTGTGCGGAGTAGATCAGCTAGTTAGTCGTTCTACAGATAGTTGTTTTTCCTCGTGCTTTATTATAACAAGAAATGCATGCGTGCATGAATAATAGCTCCGTCACCTGAACCATATTATTGGTGAAATATTTAACATTCTATATATTAATAGTCGCTGGTCTGCTGTTATGCTATATTTTGCAAAAAATACTACCTGAGCGTTTGGAGCAACAATCAGAATCAAGCGATAATCACATACGTATGTCACTGCTGTTCATTGCGGCATGTTCTCTAAAAAGTTTAGACGTCTTGTAGCAGCTCATGCGGCTACCAAGGTGAAGGCACGCTAATGAGAAACGCCGAATCCATTGACGTCATCCCCTTTTCCATATTGTTATTCTCATATAATAACATAGCTAGCAAGCGGACGCAAACTGCGCGAATTGTCCCAATGATGCCGTTACTGTCCATTACTAATCTCGGTACAAATCGAACAGAATCAAGTACAGATCGAAATATGCCTCTTCGATTTGGCCTGTTACGGCGGACAGGTGCGCTAGCACAAAAACATCCTGCCGTTTTTGGCTACCGCCTGTTCTATTGGTATGGGTGCTTTGTTCTTCTGCCTGCCTTGATGCCATTATTATTTAATTATTGATATTATATAATAATCAAATAATTATTATATTATGGTTGACTTAGTTTTTTCATTAGACGACTGGCAATCCTCCCAGCCTACTGTCGTTCTGCGTTTCGCTTTCTTTACAGCGGTAATTTGATTCGATCTGGATACGCTGAGCAGTGAACGGTAATAGGAATATTCCGAAAGGAAGAGACGACTGATTTTGCCCCCTGTTTGAGAGCGTAGGTCCATTATGGTACTCTGATTGTACTAGTTAAAATAGCAACAGCGGTTGTAATGGCAACAAAGAGTTGTATTTGCAGGTCTTCGAACAGGACATCAGAGCATGGATCGGGTGTACGTGAAAAAAGAAGGCGCTACGCAGACAGCTGAGACGATCGCGCCTGGTATGCTTCCTTGTTGTTGCGTAGTCCATAAATCCAGTTGCCTAACCAACTAATCAAAACGCTAGAAACATAGCACGGTCGGATCTGTTAAGCTGAATTGCGTTGGACGATCTTGAGTTGATTGTTGTAAATATATGAATTTAGATGCGGTACGCTTATTAAATATAATCGTATAAATTGTTGTACAAATAGGGCCAAGCAGATAAGCTAATAACTGTCATTGAATTTACTTGCACTACATAACAATATAGTAATTTAACAATGTAATTCACGGTACGCTCATATATTCATTGACGCCAGGCAGTTGTCCTGCTAGAGAGGTCATGTACGGTAATCACCGATCTACTTTTACGCAAGGCCGACACGAGAATCAGAACTTATTGGACTCTGTAGAAATCTCTAGCTGGGTCAAACGTGTTCATACAAACGATCTAAATTGATCCCGTTTATTAGCAAAGAAAAACATATTGTGTTATTGTCCTGCCAGGTTGTTTCATGTAACAAAGTTAACAGGTAAATGAATTAAATTCTAAGGATGTACTATTTTAATCTGTTTTGGTACAGTCATTCTACCTCCTTTGCCTCGTACTTTCGGGAACTTCGTGCTTCAATCGATGGCGGCGTTAAGTCGTAGCATTCTATGAAGTTTAACGTTGTCACCTTTCGTAGCACTGATAGATAGTTTCCAAATTTCCCTTGTAAATTCTGACAGGCCGCTCGACCACTTCCTGCTCTGGTCAATTAGATGCTGGCTGGTACCCGCCAAACATTATCCGGCTGAGAACACTGCCTCCTTCTCAGTGCCAAACAGCGCATGCAATGCCTGCCCACGAAGCGGCTTATCTAAACTAAACCTTTACTTGAACGAACTTATGTGGCTTCATTTATTACCTAGCAATATAAACAAGTTTTTCGCACTTCCGCCATTTAGCACGCACACTGAACCCATAGTTTTGACGGATCAGCAGCGCCTCGTGAACGCACTGCACGTTTAGCCGTAATGGTATAATTCGTAGCGAGGAACATGACGACAAGTCGATCTGAAAACTGAGAAAGGCGTGTTATCTGCAGGAAACTACGGGCTGATAGATATGCAGCCTTCCGGCGTAGATGGATGTCGGGCGTAGCCAGCCAGTAGCATATTTTTGTCATGTAAAGTTTTTTTACATGACAAAAAAAGCACAGTCTGATGCTGGCAACATGTATTCGCGTATATTCGGTACAACTAGTCCGTATTTGAATTGTTGTTGATTGGCTTGCTCACTGAAGCATCTCCCATTGTGCAAGGCCCTTACAGTATAAACAGATAGAAGCTATCGTATTTTTTGGTAGAGATCTGGCTTAGCTCTGGGCCTAGGCGTATCTCCTGAAGTTACGTATTCCTTCCTTGGCTTAGGATGTTACTCTTTGTCAACAGGAAAAATTCGATGTCGAAACGTGTCATTGGGGCTGCATGTTGCCGATTGAAAGGCTGGATGACAACAAGAAGCCGTGTTTCCTTGTGCTCTTCACTTAGTTTACGGGGTACCTAGGCTGGTGAGTTCTGAGGAATCCAATTGAAGGTGAACATGCCTGCTGATGATCGCATGAAAACAGTCCACCTCTTTGGCCTACTAACGGGTTGTTTGCCATCTAGGGTCCTAATTGACTTCGTCTGGCAAAATACGTCCTTCAGGCCCGAGTCGACATCTTTGGATTTAGCATAGCATCTTCGAGCAGTGATTTTAGTTGGCGTCTTCGCCGTATAAGCTTCCCAGACTGCTGCAGCGACTTCTCAATCCCGACAAAAGGTCAAGTTACGTAGGCCTAAAAAAGCTATCTTCTTTCTACCAAAAGTACTCATCTTAATTAGGTCTAAAAATCCATTCACCAAAAAAATTACATTATGGAGGATACAGCGCCTTCAAGAGGTATCTAAAAATAAATAAACTGTGGAGATGCACAAAAGGCAGCTCTTAGAAAAGAGCTGGACATCACTTTTTGACCGATCAAATCCATATTTGCAATGATTTCGTGTCATGTCTCGTAGGGATTTATTATTTTACCGACGCACCTAGGTTCAGACGCCGTCTATCGAAACGGTAGCAATTTATTAAAGAGTAACAGAATGGATATGATGCGTATTACGTGTCAACGTGCATACAGTACCTAGTAAGCCTTGAAAGTGTACAATAGCGTGAGTGATGATTGCCTCACTGAGAAGTGCTATCTAGACCGTAAATAAAGAAGGTGGGTAAAGAAGGCTCTGACCATCGAAGTTCTGTCTACCCAGTATGCGGTTCCTCTTCCTTTTCGCTGTTACGCCAGTTCTTGAAAGGGGACAAGCGTATTGCTTTACTGTCAGGCTGCACTATATAATGTTAATTAACGTCGACCGACAATGTTTCAAGAGCATTGTTATGAACTAGAATTTAAGTACGAGCGCTATCTTTGCTGTCAGAGTGAACATGACAGCTCTTCTATCTAGCCATGCAAGCTTAGGCGATCTGCACGCGGGATTTTTAGACAAATTTTTTGTTTAATTCAAATTTTAGGGCAATCTTACCTGGATACTGAAACATGTAGCCTTTTCAGGAAAGGTTATAAATAAGCTGAGAGAAGATGACGGAATTCTCAGAGTTATCATTGCTGAACTTGTGCATTTATATATGTATTTATATTAAATGTATGTTTTGTATTGCAAGTTTTTGCATATACATATGTATATATATATACATATGCGTGACACATAGAACAGATTTTCACAACGGATCAAGCACACGGTGCTGGTACTTTACGGTTCTATACGTTGGTAAAGTGCACTTGGCTAGATAACTCATATCTTTAGAATTAGAGGCCAAGCTTTGTGACCGGGCGTTTACAATATAGCGGACTAGTAGCCTTGTTGTGTATCATCGATTAGTATCGTTCACTCGTTGAGTACTGATCATGTCACTAACTTCGCTTTTGGAGAGAGTTCAATATAACGAAAATCGTTAGAACAATCATATTTATTTTATGCACTTACTATTCCTCCAAACGAAATACACATTATAAACGTGTTTTCCCTAGGAACGCATATGTCGGCAAATCGGTTCAGTTAAAACTTCCAGTTTACATCTGTTAAGTACGGTTCTCTTAAGATTCTTCATAAATTCTTCATTAATACCTCTGAAAGGCGTGCGTTGGTGGTTATTGATCGTGTTGTTAATTTAGTACTTCCTAGTAATATGTGAATTGAACCTGTATACCTGATGTTTTTATCGACTGTAGCTCGCCAACAATACTTAGTGCGATTGCAAGCCAGGTCCTGCAATTCTAAAAACTACATAAGCCGACAAAAGCGAACCGCTAATCTGCCAACTTGAATTAGTGGACTACACCAGGTAACGAAAAATGGGGATCCGCAAAATTTCGAAAACATGTAGACTTTGAAAACTTGTACGTAAGATTATCAGCTCCGTAAATATGTTCGTTCAGAACGTTAGCACCTCATTGGAAGATGTATAACCTGAATGCAGCGGCTAGGTGCAAAAAGTCTGCAAGAATCTCGTAACTATTATAGGATTCCCCAATAGGTGAAACGCTTGTTGATTTAACAATTTAACAAGTATATAATTTCTTATGTAGACGTAAACAATTAATAGTATTGTGTGAATATTGAGGATAAAATACGTTTACGGACTTTTATAAGCTTGCGCTTATGGGTTCGCGGCGGATCTATTAGATGGGAATCATACAAGCTTGCATTTGCTTTGACTTCCTAAAATTTGCATATGTCCAATGGGGTTGCTTAAAAGCCGAGAGTTGGACAAAAGTATTAATAAAGACAACTAGACCTATGCAAAGTTCAGTAGTGTCATGAGGGATACGTATGTGAATCGAAATGAAGCAGTACTATGCGGTACCGATTAAATTCAAAATATAATCTTTATTTGACTTTATTGTATATATATATATATATATATATATATATATATATATATATATAAAATGTATAAATCCTCTGTAAACAATTACATCTGTTTAGGTATCGAACTGAATGTTCTACTAGGATGAATCTACCAGGAGTCCAATCGAAGCGTGTCTTGCTGGAACTATCTGGGGTTTCTCCAACAAGCTAACAGAAATGTCATAGCAGCCATATAAGCAGCTATTAACCTTGATAGGAACTCATTATATTGTTAGACTTCCTATCGTTGTACTTAGTAATTTCTAGTAATAGTTTTTGTCGATGCTGAGATTACAAACAGAGTGGAAGCACGTTGCTTGGTTATGGTTGCTATGGCAACGCATTCAGAGATACGCATTACCCACTCAGACTTTGCCTGAGTTATTTCGTCAAGTATATCAGTCTCCCAATCCCCACTTGTAGAACGACCGCACTGATTAAAGCCACATACCACGCGAAATCATATAACAGAATCCCGATTCAGAAAGAGTGATCATATTTATCAAATTAAATTTAAAGCATCGTTTGATCTAGCAGTTAAAACAGGTTAAGACAGAATGGTCAGGGAAGCTATTTTTGTATTAAGCCTGGATGCGAAGGACTCGTCTCGCTTTCAGACAAGGCGGTATCGAGGTAGAGGCAGGCGTTGACCATGAAGCAGAGTTTACCTAGTGAGATAATATCTCCCCTCGCTTTGATATTCTAACTAGTAATTTTTTTTAACAGCACCTGTTTGTGTATGCGATTTTTCCGGCAGTCGATTCAGACTTGTCTTGTAGACCCACGTTATGCTTTCAAAAATTGATAGCGACTTGGATTAAGTAGGAGAAAGAAGTTGATCCGCAAAAAAGAGAGGAAAGAAGTCGAGAACAATGAATTTCAGACGGCACGGATTATCCCTGGCAAAATTAAACCAAGACACTGGGAGATGAAACAATAAACTTCCGCAACATGTTTAGTCTCTGTCATGGTGCAATGCTGGCGTGTTTATGAATTACTAAATTTATGAATAAATGAGGTAAGCCAACTTCAAAGGAAGGCATGAATGGTTCGTGCGGGAAAAATTCCG